TGCCGTACTGCTGCCTGGATGGCTGGCAGCTGGTCCTGACAGGCAGTAGGTTCACCTCTTCAGCAGAGTCGCACTATGCCCCAGGTAGAGGGTGAGGCAGTGGCAGACACCCTAGAGAAGGCTCATTACTCTATATAGGACTACGATGACTTAGTCATTGCCACTGACCACAAACCACTGGTCAAGATCCTAGGTGACCAGAAACTAGAGGACATCCCAAACCCAAGACTGTTAAAATTGTGTTAAAATTGAAGGAAAAACCTTGAACTACAGGTTCAGGATAGTACACGTCCCCTGCTGGAAGCATGAGGGACCAGACGCTATGTCAAGGATGCCATCAATGGGCATGATAGCTGGCCTCCACTGAACAGTTACCGAGGAGGAACAAGCCCGATCCTTGACATTAGAGCAGCACGTGGGAGCCCTAGTAGCTGCTGCAGTGGACGTCCTACAAATGGTATCGTTAGACAGAATCAGGGATGTGGTGGCCAAAGACATGACCGTGCAAGCCCTGATGAAAAGAATCATTGATGGATTCCACAAGCTCAGAGAATTTTTCCAGTTCAGGACTGGATTGTGCATACATGATGGGCTGCCCCTCTACGTGGGCCGAGTTATGGTACCATGGACCCTTAGTAGTGAGGTGTTGGAAGTGCTCCACTCCGCCCACCAAGGCACGGATGGTATGAACGCGAGGGCACTGGCCAGTGTCTGGTGGCCAGGCATTACAGGGGATATCAGGCAGAAGCGGGCCAAGTGTATTACGTATATGCAACCAGGTGGCCCCCTCCCAGCCTGCCGCACCACTGACAGACACACATCCGCCGGTCTACCCATTCCAGCAAATGTGTGCTGATTATCTCTCCTTGAATGGGTCAAGCTACCTGGTAAAGTGTATAGGTACACCAACTGGCTCTCTATTTTCCACTGTGGCAAGGGTGAGACCAATGCAAAAGTGCTTGTCAAGCACCTGCACACCATGTTCCACACGTTCTGGATGCCTGAGGAGCTATCATCTGATGGAGGACCACAGTTCGAGGCATACAAGACCAAGTGCTTTCTCAGTACCTACGGTGTTTGTCAGAGAATGTCTTCCGTCGGTTTCCCACATTCCAACTTGCGTATAGAGCTGGCAGTGAAGTCTGGTAAGAGGCTCATCAGAGATAATGCTGTCAAGGAGGGTTGGTTGAACAATGATAAATTTTGTTGGGTGTTGTTACAGTACAAGAATACCCGTGACCAAGATATTGGGCATCACCAGTCCAGATCATCTTCAGTAAGCAGATTAAAGACTTTATCCCGGGACACGTGACAAGTTCGATCCTCGGAAAGAATGGAGAACGACTGCAACTGAGTGGGAGTGGGCTTTGTGAAGGCGCCACGTCACAGCAGTTGAAAGATGGCCGGAAAATACCAAGATCCCACTGCGCCTACCTATCTGAGACTGATCCAGGTGCAGAACCAGGAGGGCAATCGCCCCAATAGGTGGGACAGAACCAGTCAAATAGTTGAGGTACTGGAGTATGACCAATACAGAGTCAAAATGCATGATTCTGGGAGAACCATGCTAAAACAGGAAATTCCTCAGGAAGATTGAGCAGTATGTTATGGACCAGCACATCCCCGATTAGCTTCCAGGCCCCTTGCCTTCGGAGAGATAGGTGCCACCTGGGTCTCCACCAACCCCGGTTCGGCCATCACTACCTACCATGCCTGTGACAACACTTCTGCAACAGCTGGACCCTTGAGACAGTGACTACAAGTCACCGCCTCTGATTTGGAAAGCCCATAATCAAGCTCACAGATAACCGAGCCTCAGCGGACAATGGCCGTGCAGTGGGAGCAATGAGGACGCAAGAGGCCATAGGAACCAGGTGTCCATGGGAGGTCTGTTAGGATAAGGAAGCTGCCGAGGAAGCTCAGCCCTTGCATGTGCAAGAAGATTTACCAGTTTAAGAAAGCTTCCTGCATCTTTTACAAAGTCAATACAGCCCAGCCGGCCATTATCACCAGCATGGTAGGGGTTTTGAAGATGTCCTCTTCTGACATTGCCAAACAACATACCTGGAAACAAGTACCTGCTGTCTCCCCTTGATCACTGGTAAGTGGGCTTCTTTGGGGGAGGACATCACTGATACTACTTGTGTTATGTTTGCTTTTCTTATCTTCCACAGAGTGTATGGACATGTATTGTGATCAAGAATATTAAATACATTTCAAAATGACAAGTGTCTATTCCTCTGACCCATAAACATTGACTTACTCTCTCATGTGACAACACCTACCAGCTCTCCTCTCAACACACACATAAGCAGAAGTGGTTAAATTCAGTCTACTTCTTCTGAAGTTCACGAGCCAGTACATGCTTCCCAGTACAAGTACAGTACTGTGTACAGTACTTGTCAAGAAAGTGTAACAGAGAACTGACAGACTGCCCAACTGACTAGTAAGCTGACAATGGATGAAGAGAATAAAGTATTTATCTGAACTGCTACAAGCAGGTAAAGACTGTAGACTTACAAGACAAAACTGTTTTGTCTTACCAGTCAAGGGAAAACCCAGTGTAATCCCAAGACTTTAGGCGACTCAAACAACTGGGTACTGTAATCTGCAATGAAGCACTCAATTAGAGATTTTGACAAATTTATTCTAAAACATATCTCATAAGTTTAGTACTGTATTTAAGTTTGTTTATGAACTTTAAAGTATATTATAACTATTGTATTTATAAGAATCTAAATCATATTGATGACTATAATAATACTGTAAGAGCAATGTTGTAAACTTACTGAAACACCTAGAGTATATCATTAAATTACAGTACATACTGTATAAGGTTTATAAGTCAACCAACTCATTGTCCTAAAAAGTTTTTATTTCTGAACATAGGAGAAGGCCATATCTCCCCGCCGAAGGGGCAAACAGGTCTCGAATGCCTTAATAATACAGTACCACTGTTTGGGACTGCCTCAGATTTATGGAAGTGGGAGGTTATATAGTCCACCTCTTGTATCCACAGACTTATCCCAACCTATTTAAGCTAACTCTCAGTCCTTCTGAAGGATTAACTTTAGATTCATCAATTAAAATCAAATGTAAACATAATAAACCCCACACACACTCACTCACTCTGTTGGCTCTTAGACCTGATGTCAATCTATGGGTGCTAGAATTAAGCCTGTCTTATCATCTCTACTTTGTGCTACTTTCATCCACTTCTGGTTCCTCCAGTCTTGTTTCTCCTACATTACCCATAACCCTAAACCCCATAGAAATTGAAACATGGAATGAAACATAAGTTACAAGCCTGTTAAAATCCGAAGGGGGTTGTTCAACAAGTCTCAATTTTTCAGCACCCTAAGGTCTCTCCTGTGCTTAAAAGTCCACTAACATCATAAGCAATCTTCCTCAGGCAAGTCCAAGCTTTCACAATTAAAAGAAGTAGCTAAGTGGGCTGAGGTGTAGTGCTTGTGAGGTTTTAACTCACAAGGGCTGATGTTAGATCCAGCCACTTGTAGCACACTAATCTGAACTCAGGAAGGTCAGAATTTTTTTTTAACAAACTACTGTATACAAAGTATAATAGTTTAGGGTAAAATTTTAGTTTTGGTCATCCCTGTATTTAGATATCCAAACTAATCTAACCTAACCTAATGTAACCTAACTTAACCTAACCTAATAAGGTCGTGCAGATATCTAGATGGTTCATCCCTCGTAAAATTCTTCAAGAGTGAGATGCTCCCCATCTGGAGTACTGTCACCCCGTCAGGTCCCCGAGATATGCTAGAAACTGTCAGTTGATTGAAAATGTCCAAAGGAAAGCCACCAGACTGGTGCCTGCTCTATGGCACCCCTGCTACTGAGAAAGATTAGAATGACTGCAACTGCCTAGCTTATACCACAGACAGGCAAGAGGTGACTTAAGTGAAGTGTATAAACATCTCAGAGGACATTACTCAGTCGAATGTACATACCTGGAGCTGGCGGATGCCCACCCCACAAGGGGTCACAGCTCAAAATTGAAGAAGCCACAAGACCAGAAAACAGTGATGGCAAACTTTTTCGGAGTGAGAATTGTGAACTCTTGGAACAAACTGAAAGAGAGTGTTGTGACGGCACCGAGTGTAAGCTCTTTTAAGACCAGACTTCACCACCACTAGAGCAGGTTCCAATACATTCAGGATCCAGTTCATACCCAGTACTTGCCAACAGTGCATAACAGAGGCGTGACCAACTGCCCAAGCGGCTAACAAGCCGATCAGTGGCAAAGAGGATAAAGGTAAAAAGCTAAGATGTGAAATGGTATGTCGAAAAAATGTACCTGCTAAGAAACTTCCACCAACAGAAGACAGCTTTAACCTACATATCCTGCAGTGTATCAATCAATTAATAAAATGGCAAGAAGCTGTCATATCAATACACGAAGTCATTGATCCGACATCCTATTGATAAGAGATGACACACGATGTTCCATCTTGTCTGTGGTACCTAAGATCATGAGCCAGCTTCTGGCTGCACCAGAATTGTTGAATAACCTTTTATGTAACTGCTCTCCTAAATCGTGTGCTCTGCGGTATTGGTGTCTTACCAATGAACAACCATGCACTGCAGCATAAACATGAACTCAGAGTATCTTTATCAGATTCCTTGACCCTGAAAACATATAGTTTTGACACCATAATCATTACCCTAAGTCGCATAGTTCCAGAGACTCTGACTTAAAATAACGTCGGCCATTTTGAAAAATGGCGCCGTATGCAGCTCGCACGCATTTTTGACAATTGCATCACAAGGTTCTATGATCTCCACACCTCAAAACTTAGTTTTAGCTATGCAGACAAATGTTACTCTGTTGACCAGGGTACCCCCTTCTTTTTCTGACTTCTGTTCCTGGCCTAATTTGCGCTGTTATACGCTGATGATTAGTTTAGAGTAATACAAGACTGAGGACTCACTCACCTGTTCTGAACCAGTGAGGTAATACAAGACTGAGGACTCACCTGTTCTGAACCAGTGAGGTGTTTCCGTGTTGGGTGTCTCTCCTCACCGTCTGGCCGCGGGACCTGGTAGGGGAAGCCCAGGGTGGTATCTTTCTGTACACTGGAGTAGCGTGTGGCACGGTCCCTGGCGGCCATGGCCTCACCCACATACAACACCTGCAACACATGTTTAACGTTAACTCAAGCTGATACATACCTATAACACATGTTTGGCGGTAGATCACACCTGTAACACGTGTTTAACGGTATATCACACTTGTAACACATTCTTAACACACTTGCAACACAAAACGTTCTCACACATGTCAAGACGTTATCACACACACACACACACACACACACACACACACACACACACACACACACACACACACACACATATTAAGCATCAATTAGATTGAGTTTGATGTATTTAGGTTAGGTTAAGTTACGTTAATTTTAGTTAGTTTAGGTTGACTGGTTCTTATCAACATCTTTGATTTGCCATTAAAAAAATATCAAAGGTTAAATTTGGATCAGGTAAGTTTAGTTAGATTAAGTTAGATTAAGTTAGATTTATTTCGGTTAAGTTAGATTCACTTATTGTTATATTCAATTAGGTTAAGTTTTGTTAAGTTAGGTTTTGTTAAAGTTACATTAATTAAGTTAGGATTAATTACAGTTCAGTGTCTTCTGATGTTGTTAATGCTGTGATATCAAACATAATCTTCTGCCGTACAATATTCGACCACTTTTACAACCTGTCAGAATCCCGCCAGAAACGCTTTACAACCTGTCAGAATCCCGCCAGAAACGTTTTACAACCTGTCAGCATCCCGCCAGAAACGTTTTACAACCTGTCAGCATCCTGCCAGAAACGTTTTACAACCTGTCAGCATCCCGCCAGAAACGTTTTACAACCTGTCAGCATCCCGCGAGAAACGTTTTACAACCTGTCAGCATCCCGCTAGAAACGTTTTACAACCTGTCAGCATCCCGCCAGAAACGAAACCTGTCAGTCCCACCAGAAACGTACAACCTGTCAGCATCCCGCAGAAACGTTTTACAACCTGTCAGCATCCCGCCAGAAACGTCGTACAACCTGTCAGCATCCCACCGAAACGTTTACAACCTGTCAGCATCCCGCCAGAAACGTTTTACAACCTGTCAGCATCCGCCAGAAACGTTTTACAACCTGTCAGCATCCCGCTAGAAACGTTTTACAACCTGTCAGCATCCCGCCAGAAACGTCGTACAACCTGTCAGCATCCCGCCAGAAACGTTTTACAACCTGTCAGCATCCGCTAGAAACGTTTTACAACCTGTCAGCATCCCGCCAGAAACGTCGTACAACCTGTCAGCATCCGCCAGAAACGTCTACAACCTGTCAGCATCCTGCCAAAACGTTTTACAACCTGTCAGCATCCCGCTAGAAACGTTTTACAACCTGTCAGCATCCCGCCAGAAACAACCTGTCAGCATCCCGCCAGAAACGTTTTACAACCTGTCAGCATCCGCCAGAAACGTCGTACAACCTGTCAGCATCCGCCAGAAACGTTTTACAACCTGTCAGCATCCCGCTAGAAACGTTTACAACCTGTCAGCATCCTGCCAAAAACGTTTTACAACCTGTCAGCATCCCGCCAGAAACGTTTTACAACCTGTCAGCATCCTGCTAGAAACGTTTTACAACCGGGTCAGCATACCGCCAGAAACGTTTTACAACCTGTCAGCATCCCGCCAGAAACGTTTTACAACCTGTCAGCATCCCGCCAGAAACGTTTTACAGCCTGTCAGCAACCCGCCAGAAACGTTTTACAACCTGTCAGCATCCCGCCAGAAACGTTTACAACCTTACAACCTGTCAGCATCCGCTAGAAACGTTTTACAACCTGTCAGCATCCTGCCAAAAACGTTTTACAACCTGTCAGCATCCCGCCAGAAACGTTTTACAACCTGTCAGCATCCTGCTAGAAACGTTTTACAACCGGGTCAGCATACCGCCAGAAACGTTTTACAACCTGTCAGCATCCCGCCAGAAACGTTTTACAACCTGTCAGCATCCCGCCAGAAACGTTTTACAGCCTGTCAGCAACCCGCCAGAAACGTTTTACAACCTGTCAGCATCCCGCCAGAAACGTTTTACAACCTGTCAGGAACGTTAACAGAAAATCCACAGTTAACACCCACACTACATCGTAACAGAGAGAGAGAGAGACGACAGTCTGGTCAATACAATATACCTGAAATATTTAACGTTTATGCATTCCCAACAAGCAACAAGTTCACCCCACCACCACACGAACAGGAATGCATTCATACGCGCTACTAGACGGATCACGTGAAGATTAGCCACCCTCCTCAGCCACCTTAGGATTATACACATTAAATAGTAATGCTAACCCAGCCTAATATAACCGAACTAAGGCTAGATTAGGTTAGGTTAGGCTACATTAAGGTTAAGTTAGGTTGTTGCGTTAGTTCAGGTTAGGTTAAGTAAGGTACTAACGGGTTATGCTTCTTCAAGTCGTCAGTGTTATCGATACCGATATAACTTTATTACTGTGTGGAAAAATCGTAAAAACAAAATAAAAACAAAATCAAACATCGGTTAACTTAGATTATGGTGGAAAAAATACTTCAACACATACAAATAATGCATAAAAAATGAGATGCCGTAAAATATTGGTTCAAATAAAATTCCACACAGCCACCGTACACAGTGCATAGAAGAGCATGTGCTTTATGTATCCCTCTAATGCCCACAACATACAGTCTCACATTCTCATACATCACAGCATCATATAACAGCATACAACATCACACACATCATACATCTGTGATTAACTGTCTCTAAAACAATACGACATTTGAGTTATATGACCTTCAACTCCGATCGTAAGAAGACATTTAACTGTAGACCAAATTACATACAGACAAAAGGCACTCATGCGTAGGTTAACAATTCTTGCTGTAAAAATTTATCATAAAACTAAGAAAATAACAATAGAAAATTATTGGAAGTAAAATTCGCCAAACAACATCTGTAAACGTCAGCAGTGTTGCTATCTTCATGTTGTATTTATTTATTTTTTTACAACCTGAAAAGGGTGTTATTTTTTCACGTTTCAGACATTTTTTATTCATTGCACAATAATTTATTTCAAACAATCGGATTGATTTTATAATATATACATAATCAATTGAATATTGTACCCGAATAATAAACATGCATTAATAACCCATGAACAGTGTATAAACTGCTTAACTTTCTTATACTGTTAACTACACTTGGTTTATTAAATCATTCAAAGTTTTAAATGTAACTTTATAGCAATTGTGCCCCACCTGGCGAGGAACAACACAACTAAACCCTCCCCGACTCCCATGCCAAGTTGGTCTAAACTCTAAAGTATAGTACTGCATTTATCTACACCTGTTCCCGCACCACGCTGCCACTACAAACATCAAACTATCGTACTGCATTCATCTACACCTGTCCTCGCACCACGCTGCCACACCTACCTTAACCACCAAACTCGTGCCAAGGTTCAAACTATCGTACCGCACTCCTCCACACCATCAGCATCACATAGGAGAGCAAGGGTTAGTGTTTTAATACAATTTCCGAAAATAACACGCACCAGACTCAACACACCTCACACTCTCCTCCTACCCGTCTATACGATCATCAACCTCGATATGAGTTCACGTCTCTGTACCCAAGGTGTTATCACCCTCTCTCCCCTTTTCCCCCTTTCCTCACTGAATCTCCCCTCCCCCCCCTCTCCTCACCGAAAACCCCGCTCCCTTCCCTCTCTCCTCACTAAACTCCCTCCCTCTTACCCCCTCTCTTCACCCAACTCCCCTCCCTCTTCCCCCCTCTCTTCACCCAACTTCTTTCCCCCTTCCCCCTTCTCCTCACTCTACCTAGACCCCTCCACCCCCTTTTGTACCCAGACAACCCTCCAGCCTCTCTGTACCCTTTACCCCCTTTGAATCCACACCACCCCTTCCAAACTCTCTGTGTACCCTCCACCCCTACCGTACCCAGACCAGAGAGGGCCTGCATAGTTAGGGCCTAGTTGAGTTTTTATGGTAGAGAAATAAAACATGTCTGTCTGTCTGTCTGTCTGTGTTAGGGAAGCAACTCTCTCTCTCTCTCTCTCTCTCTCTCTCTCTCTCTCTCTCTCTCTCTCTCTCTCTCTCTCTCTCTCTGTGTGTGTGTGTGTGTGTGTGTGTGTGTGTGGGAAGCAACTCTCTCTGTGTGTGTGTGTGTGTGTGTGTGTGTGTGTGTGTGTGTGTGTGTGTGTGTGTGTGTGTGTGTGTGTGTGTGTGTGTGTGTTAGGAAGCAACTCTCTCTCTCTCTCTCTCTCTCTGTGTGTGTGTGTGTGTGTGTGTGTGTGTGTGTGTTAGGGCAACTCTCTCTCTCTCTCTCTCTCTCGTGATAGGACAGCTCTCCTCTCCCCTGTTAGGACGCAGCTCCCCTCTGATAGGACGCAGCCCCCCCCTCTCTCTCTCTGATAGGACGCAGCTCCTCCCCCCCTCTGATAGGACAGCCCCCTCTCTCTCTGATAGGACGCAGCTCCCTCCCCATCTCTGATAGGACGCAGCCCCCCTCTCTGATGGGACGCTGCTCTTCCTGTTAGGACGTATCTCTCTATCTCAATGAGCTATTTAAATTTATGTAACCAGATTTAGTTATGCTTCCTTATTACACAATTGACAAACAGGATTCCGAAACTCTGATATTTAAAGAACAATAACCAAATAATAATAATAATAATAATAATAATAATAATAATAATAATAATAATAATAATAATAAACGTTACCACTTACTGTAGATTGAGACCCCTACAGCCCTCAGTACTGTCTGTATCCCAGCCATTGAATAAACTCTACTCAGATGTGTGTGTGTGTGTGTGTACCTCAACATATAATCAACTTATTATTTTATTAACCTTAACCTCGCCTTCAACATCTGAATGAGTTAAGTAAACAACTTGGACTAATTATTTCTCGATTATTAAACTGATCAGGAATATTGCCAATACTCATTTAACCTAACCTAACCTAACTAACCTAACCTAACGACTGGGGGCTTGGCGGGGGCTTGGCAGGGGGGCTTGGCGGAGGGAGGCTTGGCAGGGGGTTATGGTGTCAGGATAAGTCAG